AGGGGATGCTGATGATGTCCTAGACGGAGCGACAGTCCTCCCGAACAGAAAGGTCAAATGGATCCTGGTGACCGGCTGAGGCTTGTGGGCCTCTCGAGCAAGTCTGTTCTGTTCTGGAAACCAAAAGTGCCCTTCTTCATCTTTAGAGACGTTTTACTGTCACGTCCTCTTTTTCAGAGCTGTCTCTACTACTTAGGGGTTGGAAATCCATTATGAAGTCACTGTGCATTAGAATTTGGTCATCTGTGTCTGTATGAGATGGAGGTGAGGGTTTTGGTTGGAGGTGGGGAGAAAAACGGTCATCCGTTTAAAAATAACTATCATGGGAAAAGCAGGAACAGAATGTACAGGAATCAGCAGTGGCAGCCTTTAGGGACAATGGAACAGAGAAGAGCTGTGAACAAAGCTCATTTATTTCAAATAAACACGTTTTTAAAAGTAGATTGACACCTGACGTTACATTTCATTTTGACAAATTACCGAACAGCTGAAGTTACTGTTTCCTATGTAGGCTGTATAATTATTGGATGCAAAGATAATTAGTATTTCCAGGTTGGATTTTTGCGATGGAATGCAAATCATAAGCACAGTTTCAATAAAACGCATATTCCATGAGGTGCGTTGAACTTTGCATTATTTGGAACTGAGAAGAGCAAAACTTGCTGACAAATCAGTGCCTCTATCATAAACAGAAACACAAGGAGCAGCTGTGACTGCAGGCTGGCTGTCTTTAGTTTCCTGAAGGATGTGGTATTGCTCAACCTGACTGCATATTTTGGGGAGGGAACGCTGTGCTTTTATTTAGACGAACACTCTGTCTTATACTGCCTTTCGATCAACTCTCAAAGTGTGTGTTTTGGCAGATGTGTGTGTTTTTGAGCATGACCAATCATTTTCTCCCCCAAGTAATGAAAACAATTCTGCATGGCTTCTGCCTAACCCAGAAAGCATGCTCTTCCTACTATGCAAGCAACCAATAAAAAAAAGTAGAAAAAATATAGACTACTTACACTCAGCATAAGTAAAAAAAAAAAAAAAAAGGCAACTCTTAGATCATGGAGTTCAATTTTTGAATTTGTAATTTTTTTAATGTGGCTTAATCAGTATCAGAGCATGAATGTGATTTCTTTTGCTTTGGACGTGTTTCTCTTTGTGGAATTCTTTTTTTTTTGATCATTGGCAAGATTGTGTGTAAAATAAGTATTTTTGCAAGCAGGAGTGAAACTGGTATGTTGAACACACCCTGGTTTATATACTGTATTTAGCCTGAAGACTTTCCTAAAGTATTTTGTCCTAAAAATAACCTGCCATTTTCTATAGATTTTAATTTTTTATATCTTCTAGGGTTCTATCGCGGTCACAGGGAAAGAATGTGGCTTCTAATCGTGCTAATAATTTTAAAACACTTTTGTAGAGACTTCGGAGCTTCCCAGCCACTGGTTACAATGAAACTAAGCTGTGGGATTTACGGTAATGCTGACAGTAGATTGGGTTCTAGGGCCATCTTACGTTCGTCTAAAACTGGTGTTTCCCAGTTTAGGGGAGAAGGGAGATTTGTGGCAGACTCGGGAGGCTATTTCAAATCTCACACATGTACTCTCCCCAGGATTCCATCAAGCCTCTTCTGAATGACTT